GAGATAACAAAATTTACATAAGGGTGGGGCGCTAAGTTTGTGTTGCCGAAGTGTCTGATGATTTTTTGGACGACTTGTTGAACAATTCTGTACTAAAAAACCCCCGAGAAAGCAACAAAAATATGGAATGGCAATTTTTAAGGGTAAGAAAATAGACAAAATAACGTACACTCAATGAAATTTTAAAATTAAAACTGAATTTTGTAAAACATTTTACGCGAACAAAAACTAAAATATTTGTTTACCTTTAATGGTTTTATAATGTTTTTTGTGTATTTTTGTATTGTGTTTGCAGCCTAGTTGTAAATTAATGTTAAAGTTTATACTAAAACAATTAGACAACTCGGCCTCGTTGTCTATGAGCAAATAGTCAATTCGGCTTCGCCTTGTTGACTATTCGCTCATAGACAACTCGGCCTCGTTGTCTAATTGTTAATTATCATAATATTTCGAAATGTTTTAATTGGCGAGTTGGCGTTCATACGTTAAAAGACAAACGATGAGCAAAGGAAAAAATAAGCTATATAAAGCTTCGGATACACGGGCAATATTTTTGCTGCGATGGTTACGCAGTGGGTGATAACAGCATTGCGTTGCCGTCGCACAAGGTGGCTACACCTGCAATATTTCACCTGCAATATATGTCTTCATAACGCTTTTCATTGGCGGGTCAAGAAACGTGTCATTCATCAACCTTGACCTTCCTTGACCACACCTTCCAATTATCGGCAATCATTTCCCAAAATCAAATTATTTGAAATTTCGGCAACGATTGCGCGCAGCTTTGCGTTGCCGTCGCAGAGCATGATACACAAGCAATTTCTTTCTCGCGACGGCAATGCAACGATTTTACCACCATTGCATTGCCATCGCCGGAAAAATATTGCCCGTGTATCCGTAGCTTAATGCAATAGAGAGTAAATAAACTTGCAATTTAAAACTGTATGTATAATGATTCTTTTGATATAAGAAAGAAAATATTAAGCGAAGACATTGATCATCTTTCACTGGGGAAATAATCGTTTGCAAATAAATACGCTCCTATAAATACCCAAAACTGATATAGGATTTATTAGAGAGAATATCGAGCTAAATACTATGTATATTAACGTACTTATTTATTTTTATTCTTCATTGAACATGTTCAGTTCAACAAAATTAGAAAATCGACCACAGAGTAGGCCTACTTTACGCAAATTAACAGCGGTTAGTTTATAATCGCTGACAAATATCAATTAATATCGAATCACGATTCTGGTTAAACAAATGTTCTGACGAATACAACATTCAACATGCAGCAATTTTCTGAGGATTCTGCCTTTTCTTGTTGATATGTAGAACTAAACCCGACACTGTGTCGTTGAGTGAGCTTCGCCAAGAACATCTATTAACGTTTTTAAGAGTTCAATTTCAAACGTCCAGCCAGGCATTATTAACAACTTCGTCCCTTACAGTAACCGTTATGACGTATTTTATGAAAAATATACGCCAATAAACACTTCGTTTCATGGTATAGTCCCCTTTGTGTTGTTTTATTCACACTTCTTGTATTGTCAAACGCCACATTTGCCTTTCTTACCCCCCCCCCCCCATAAGTCCCAATTGTTATCTCCCAAACTCTAGGAGACACATGACCAGCCTGGACCAGAGTCTTTCTTGCAGCAAGGCGCGTAGTCTAAAGAGCCTGGGTACGAGGTTGCTTTCAGCCCAAAAACATAACATTGAAATCATAATTAGGTAATTAAATTTGTTTGGTTGTTGTTGTTGTTGCTTATTACTGTTCTATAAAAAAGGCAATAAAGTCGGTTTTCTACTAGCGAATTTTCTCGCGCGAAGCGACCTTTTTTCTTTGTCGGTATCACTTATTACGTCAGCAAGACGTGGCAAAATGGATGCCGACAAAGGAAAAAGGTCGCTTCGCGCGGAAAAATTCGCTAGTGGAAAACCGGCTTAAGAGAGGGTAATAAAGCGCATTTAAACATGCACATTTACTATAGGCTAATGACTCGGCAAAATTACCAAACAAAGAGGGCTAGCGCCGCCCCTGACTACAACTACCGTTTTAGTAGTCAAAAACTACTGGCTACTTGAAAATTGTAGTTCGCTACAGTAGCGAACTACAACTATTTCACTACTACCCACCCTTGGTATTCAGTGTATTCAGTCGGAGAGAATATATGTTCTATTTATAAAGCTTCAATCACATGCAATGCGGCTATTAATATTTTATTTTTATATTTTTAGAAATGACCACAACTTGCGAATTCAAGCTGGGTACGGACGTGTGTAGCAAACTAAAAATTGATGTATCAAGGTTGGTATTACACAACTTTTTCATGATCTCTATCACGCGAAAGAAAATATTCATAAAAGCATCTGATATACGTTTAGAGAACAATGCTAAATGGGAAGTATCAAGATGGAATGTTTACATATTTATCTTGGAAATATCCTAACTTCACAAGTGTATAACGTTGTTATCAAATTGAATGCAAAATTTCATCACGTCCAGTCATCGGAGAAACGACAAAAACGAAGAAATCTTTGAACAGATAGTGCTTACTGTCAATAAACGTTTTTGGCTGCAAACTATATTGTGAAAAATGAATATCTCGGGAATGGTATAATTAATACACTAACATTTAATTACTGATTGACCCATCATATATTTGCTATGAAAGCTAGTATAAATTAAGGTGTATATTTGTGTGATATGGTATAGCCTATTCTTATTCTAATAAAATTGATCATTTCGTGTATTTTATTCACATTAAGCATTCTTTGTTTTTGACCCAATCTCGTTCCCTGAGCCTGTAATCCTCGGGAAGGAACGTGAGGCTCTGGGATAATCCATTTCAAGGAGGAATCTGATTGGCCGTTGATATGGAATGCACAGTTCGATCTTAGCCAGGATTCCTGGCTTCCGGAAACGGATTATCGCAGAGCCTCGCGTTCCTTCCCGAGGATCTCAGGCTCGGAAAACCAGATTGTTCTTGACCCAGTAGACGCCATGGACGCTACAGTATACCTATTTTTTATAATTTATTGGTAAAATGCGTAATTTGATCACATACGATCTCGGTTTAATTTAAAAGCTTATAAATCGCTATGTTGCCATTGACTAAAATTATTGCTACGAATGAGGAGATCTACAATCTTGGCAAAAAGTTAATGAAACACCGTCCTATAAAAAATCAATAAAACAGACAAAATCCCCTCCCCCCCCCTGCACAATGTTGGACATAGATTCTAAAAAAATGTGTACAATAGTTCATCGATAGCAGAGAGCACTATGTGTAGGTTTCTTGCTCATCTTAATCAACATTGGAAGGGGGGAAGAATAAATTAAATTGTTAATGAAACTGGAAGTTTCATTATAGTTTTTGCCAGGATTGTCTGACTTTGCAAATTTACGAAATGCCTTAATACGTACAGTATTTTACACCAAGATTATGTTGAAATTCCAGTTTATATAGTTACATGTTTAGTAAAGCAATAATGTTTTAATATCACTTCTGACACCTACAGAACGTGCATGTAGCCTGGGTACGAGAAAGAATATTTTAAGGAGCAATCAGGATTGTAGTTATGGTTTAAAACTGAAAACTCATGTTATTATGCTGGACGATTTGAATACAATTTCCACTAAAGTATGATCAGTGTCTCGCGTTGAAATAATATAAGTACCGACTTTAATGTTTTGATGATATAAAGCAACGATTGACACGGTTGACAAACAGCACTTGACACTCCATTTTCTCTATATAACCTGGATTTTAGGATGAACAACGGTTGACAGTTTGAGAATAATAAAAAAATAATATTTAATATAATTTTTTTTTATCAATGCTGTCAACCGTCAACCGTTGTAAAATTCATATTAAAGTCTTATAATCATCTTGTCAACCGTTAGAGTCAACCGTGTCAACCGTGTTAAAATCGTTGTTTTCCGTTTTATCTATAATTACCTATATTTATGATATATTTCCAACTAGAAACATGTTTACCAACACTTGAGCTAAGGTAAACAAAATATAGATATATTGAAATGCAAGAACTCCGTCTAATTTTCGCCCTAAATCACTTTGTCTAGTCATCTACGAATGAGCCATTGCCGCTAACGCATTGTGCGCACGCTCACTGCTTGCAGTTTGAGCACTCTGGCATGGTTTGATATCCCACATTCGTGAGGCATCAAAGCACAGAATAGATAACCAGAAGTCTTACTCAAGCGGAAACATGTCCCATCTTTTATACTGCGCATGCGCGAGCTAAACAAGTGTAATGCAGTGTTGACAATAGAAACTTATATTGGGAAGTTGTCATTTCTACAGTAAAAACAGCTTTTTTTTCAAGTAGTACGAATTGTGACTTCGATTTATCTGTGGAACTATTTGAACAGAAGGTAGAGCAGTAATTTTGTTGTATTTAGAAAGCAAACAGGGTCATATTTTTAAAAATATAGCGCACTGAATATAAATTTGACCATCATTAAAATGTGTTCGCTATGATGCCATTTTGTCTCCGGTATATACGGAGTTCTGCTTTTATACTTGTGGATATTCGAATTTAATTGGCTCAAAAACACCATTACTTCAATATCCCTTTCTTGTTTTTCCTTGGATAGGTTTTAACAAGATAGAACTCTAGATCCCTAAGGTCCAAAGACGCTAGATTATAAAATCCTGATGTGACTTGATACTACAAATAGAATATGTCTTATGATTTAATACTACAAATAAAATGTCTTTTAAGTACAAACTTCAATGAATTGATAAAGTGTAAGGATAGTGTTTAAAGTCGCTTCATGTGTAGAAGCTGAATTACTTTAGTTTATACACTGTATATTGTCAAGATCACATGTTGATATGACTTAATACCAGCAACTTGCAATCAGTGGCCTGTCCTGCTTGTTTATAATACTTTAGAGTTTGGACATTAGAACATTGTAATTGCCTGACAGAGACTGTTAGGGCCTTTTTGTATGGAAGCCGGGCTGTCCCGCTTAGCAAGACAGCCCGGTAAGGTAGGTAAGCAGGATGATTTCTCTTGTGTTTATTTGAGAAAATTTCATTCCGCTTACCGGGACAATTTTGTTGTTTTGACATTATTTTGACAGTTGTTAAAAATAGCTTGCGGCAGTATCTTTGAACTTTCATCCCGGCAACCGGGCTAGCCGGCTTATGATTGTTTATGTGGAGAAATTTCCATCCTGGTCTTGGCAACCGGGCCTGCCCGCTTGTCCATAGAAATGATAATTTGTACTATAAAAATAACTAGACAGCGAGATCTCACTTACCGGGCTGTCTCACTTAGCGGGCCAGCCAGTTTCGATATAAACAGGCCCTTGCACAACTGCTAAAAGCTGCAAGTTTCTTTAAAGCAATATCATCTATATCACAGAATACAGTTTCTGTAGTGACATACTTCGTGTTTTTTCTGTCTTTAAAGTGTCTTATGTTTGTAATATTTTTGTACAATACCTTTTTGAAATTGTTGATACTGGTCTCATTGTAACTCAGTTATTCCTTCTCAAGAAAAATAAAAAAACAAAGCTGTGTGGGTGTGTTTTTTGCTCTAGTTTTTACATCTACATGATTCATGTACAATTAATGTACATTTAAATTAGCTTTGTTCAATGAATACAGGTGTGATTCAAATATCATTCCTGTCAGGTACTTGGGTCAAATAGACATAAGCATACCAAATCATGCTGTGAATTGAAATACAAGTATAGGGTGTGTATTGTTTAATAAATATATTTTCCAGTTAACCCAGTAAGCTGCATTGTGCCCCAATGCACCCTACTTTACTAGTTTATTTCACCTCATCTAATGCCAGATGATTTTACTTATCGAGGGAGAGTGCTGCTGCTCATTGAGCTCTGATTGAGTTCACTGAGTCGCAGCAATTCCCCCTTGACAAGTGAACTTGTCTGGCGTTAGACAGAGTAAAATAATCTTGCGTTCAATCAAGCAGCTACTTTTTCAAAAGCTCAACCAGGCTAAAGATTCTTTGATTTGAAAACCAAAGTGATAGTGAACTAGTTAGTTGAAACAAACAGAATTGTTTGATTTATTTACTTTCCACAACATTGACAATTAAAATTTAATTTGATACTTTTCCAGTATATTGACATTATATAGGTTCAGATTTGACTACCATTACCATTAAGGGACCATCAACCAATCAAATGCATTTGATATATTCGATCAACCATTATAATGAAAGTGTGAGTTTATTCATAAACTAATTATAAATCAACTTCCATGCAATGCTTCATGCAATCATCTAGTTATGCACCAATCAATGTAAATCCCTGCCCCCAACCGGGGAGGGGCGGAAGGTTTAGCGGGGAAAGTGGTCAGTTTTGATTATAAATTTGTCCCCGATGATGGGAGACTTGGACAGTGGTTAACATATATATCCTGTGTTGCTGTTTTAGTTTTCTTGACAAGAAAAGTTTAAATACAACAACATAAATGAATTTGATTTTCTATTGCTGATCTATGATTATACAAAACTATTTTCCTGGGGTTAAGAGACTGCAGGGGACATTGACGTCCCTGGGGGCGGGGACAATTTCGCTCTTTTACTACCCCTCCAAGTCAAAATCCCTGCCCCTGCCCGGTTGGGGGGTTTACCTTGACTGGTGTATTAATTAAAGAAGTGTCAGTGCCACATATATAGTAAAAGCCAACTTGTCAGTAAAGGCCACAGAGCAAGATTGTATTTCAAAGACTGCCAGTGACAAAAACAATTGATAGTCCTGAAATAGAGTATGCCAACAGTTAGTATACTGCAAATAACTATTCTATCAACAAGATAATGTGTGTGTTTTACAAGTGTTTTTTATATATCAATCCAATGGCATGTAACCTAAAATTCAGCAGTGTCTGTGTAATGAAATACACCCTTACTTCTCAATGGTCAAATTAACTATACTACATTGTGTATAATAATATATGGACTGGTTCAAAATTATATTGAATTTATATTAGTGAACTGGTGAACTATTGATGTAGAGATTATGCCAAGTATAGAATGGCAGAAGGATTTTCATGTTATCAGTATGACTAAATCGTGAAATTGTGCAAATAATCTGCAATCCTGGGCAAAAGTGTTGGGACACCCAACCTTTTCCACCCTTGAATTCTAAAGACAACGCCCCCACCCCACCCCAATTCAATGTTGAAAGTTCTTACAATTTTAGTTAAGGATGCCCGCAAAATCAACATTGAACGGGGGAGGGGGGTTCGGTTCAAAAAGCATATTTTGCGTTAAATCTGCTTTCCCTGAAGAGAACAATAAAAACATGCAAAAATTTTGGGTTGTCCCAAGGACTTTTGGCCAGGATTGTAAATCTCTTAGAGATATCCTCAGTAGCTACATTTTAAGGTAAAATGACTATGGTAAAGCTATTCAAGGCAAAAAAAGCAATGGATCTGTCAACCTCGTTGTCAACAGTAAATTTAGATAAGTTTATGATCCATTTATTGCCGTATTTTAGCTGAGAATTAATTTCAGACAATGCAATACGATAGACTTACCTTTGAATTTATCATATATTCTTTTAAAATGGTCACCAAAGCTCTAAAACTCGATTGGTATTGTTTTAACATTCTCACTCCTTAATGTTTACATGTAAATTTGTCAAATTACACTTGTTTAGGACACTGGAAACGAGACACGGTCAAGATGCGCAAGGCGACATGCGTGGGGACATCAACATCAAAGATTCCGACATCGAGTGAGACTTCTGGTCTTATTATTTATTTTGTGCCATAGTACTCTATATAGATCTATTGCAATGGCAAACTTGCAAAATAAATTCCAGTCAGATGGTAACGTCTTATTTTTAAAACTACACATCTGTAAGCAGTTTTACAAAAAGCTCTTGTGCTGTTATCTTCTCGACAGTTTCTAATGTCACTTGTGTTTCTAATGTCACTTGAGTTCAAGTACGTCAGGGTCCAGACATATCTTTGAAAACTGTGATGATGAGGTTATCCATTACTTGTTAATCTTTACTGTGTAAATATGTATGTTGTATGTGGGTGTTTAATGCCTTGTAAGGGACTCCAATGTCCTATTGCATTTCACACCTGTCTTTTGACAAATCTTTAAATAATAATAAATAAATAATAATAAATAAATAATAAATAAAATTGGAAAAAATTACCGAAATGAGATGTTCTGATATACATCAGGTGAATATAAATAAAGTCTGGCACCAAGTATCTTCTGCATGTGCAGCCTACAACACATCTGTCCGAAACAGTATCATGCAATTGATGCTACAACATTTCTGGGGCCAGTTGTACGAAAGGCATTTAACTTAAACAGTGTTTAGCTGCTAACCAGCGTATAAATTTCTTATCCAGCAGATAGTTAAAGGGCCGATCAAATTGTGTTGTACGAAGCCTGTTTAGTACCGTGTTTAACTATCCATAGGATAACCTTTAATTTAACCAGCGAAAACCCGATTTTCTTCAAATTTCTTACCTCTACGTCACCTGTTGCTAGGCCTTTGTAAACTTTTGAAGCTTTATCATTTGTGAATTCCACTAAGCTTTTGCAATAAAGTTTTTTGTTGTTTTTATTTGGAGTTTGCTCGTCCATTCATTGCTGCAAATCTATATCAAACTTTTCATTTTCACATTGTGCTGAGTTTCTCATTCACGTAAATTCACTTACGGATATTTCTTTAAAGATTTTTGGCTAATTTATGTGAAGAGTTGAAGGCAATAGCGAAAACTGTGAGTTGTGTTTGGCTTTCATCAGTGGATTCAGTTTTCTACTGTTTGAAATTTGTTCCTCGACCTTGCACTTGTGTTCAAAACAATTTTAAGAACATTTGGTCCCAAGTTTTGATTGGCTGATCAAAGTGATTAACACGAGCGAAAATTTTTTTCGACTTTCAGCGTCTTGTTGTCTATTTTGTATACTTGTTCGCTTTTCAAAGGGCAAAGTCATTGTTTGTTTTCAATAGCTAAAATTAGGAGCCTTACTGGTTGTTTTCAAACTATATAATAGAAGAAAAGAAGAAAAAGCCAGAGTATAAAATGACACTGGTATGCATATTAAAATATAGCAAAGCCACAGAATTTAATACAAGTGAGCAAGTGACTCCTCAACGTACCTCAAGACCAAGCCTGTTAAAAGTGAGTTTTTCATGTTTATTGGATTTAAAAAGATAACTGCTCTACATAATTGTGCATTTCTATAACTATCCCATGCTATTTCATAAATAATCATTGTTTTACCTTCAAATTTTATCTGCCGTATAGCGATTACACAGTGGATAGGCAAAATTTAATCAGTGGATAGCACTAAACGGGCTTCGTACAACGTGATTTCTTGAGCATCTAAATTTTATATGACGGATAGTGAGTTAAACGGTGGATAGGTCACCTGAATGAAAACATGGTCGGTCTCTGAGAGAGGTCATGTGCTCTGGGAATGCTTAGATGCCTTGTCACTAGATAAGAATTTAAGAACAAAATGGATGAACTTGGTAAGACCTAATTAGGACCTCAAGGCTTCAATTATTGTTCTTCAAAAATAGTAACATTCTTTGTCAAGTCAAAGCAACAGATCATCTGAGAAAAAGAGGGCTGAAGGGAAATCATGAAACCAAAAGAAAGCAAAATAAAGAAGAAATCTGTGGTAGACAGTGAAATATCAAAGATGAGAGCAACTGGTGAAACATCTGAAAGTTTTGCAGGATTTCTTTATCACCTATGTACATTACAACTGCCTGCTCAACACATGTTACTAAATCAACTGACAGGAAAAGAGTTAGCAAAACTCCTCAAAAGCATAGGAAAGCCATCTTTTCAAGGAAAGAAGAAAGAAAATCAAGTTTTGTCTGTGATCGAAACACTTAAGAATAAGGATGTTTAATTATTAAATAGTTGAGAATTTAGGGACCAGTCATTAGTGAGCTTAAGCAAGTGACGTTTTTGACAACACGAACGGCATGAGTAACATCAGAAGATTGGGTCCGAGGGCTGTGATTGGTGAAAAACGTCAACTTTACTTCCGGTCGACGTCCGTGTTGTCAAAAACGTCACTTGCTTAAGCTCACTATTATTTATGGCCAGGATAGGGGCTGAAGAGTGCATAATGTAGCCAGAAAATCATTACCCCACCTTTATCAAAACAAAATTTCTAGATACCTCACCGGTGGAAAACAGGAAAATTTTTTACCCCACTTAAACCTATTTTGTTGTACCTTCAAAGGTCCCGAGACATAAAATATGTGATGAAACAGTCTAGTATTTCGTATGCATATTACTCACCATTGAGTCGCATTGTGCCCTGATTCACCCTACTTTATTATTTCACTCTAACTACAGATTATTTTACTCTGTCTAACGCCAGACAAGTTTACTTGTCAAGGGGAGAGCACTGGTGCCTAATGGCTTAAGTCCAAGGTTGCCCTTGATTATAATCATCCATTGTTAGAGAGTAAATAATTGGGTATATTGCTCACTCATATTAAGATGGGCATGCACTCTGACTCGAACAACTGCACTGAACCATTCAAATTTGCATGTTATGGGGGTTGGATCAATGAATGCTATATTCATTGCCTATATATATTTAATTCCTATAAACATCAAATTTTAGATTTTTTACTTTTTTATATATTATCGTTCCATACGTTTGACATTTCAGTTTGCAATCAACAAATAGCATATACTATATATTTATACCAGTATACCTACTGTGGGTGTACTGTGATTTTTGTAAATTTGTCAAGGAACATTTTGCCCAAAAATGGGAACGTGTGATAAACGTGCAAGACTCTACTTGACAAGTAAATTTAACTATAGTTTATAATAAAGCATACTTACGTACTTTAATACAACGTACTTGATTTAACTCAATTCCATCTGCCAATATTGATATCCAACACATATGACGGGAATATTACATATTAAAGAACTCCGCGAGGATCTGCAGTAGAAATATGAAAATACCACCAACAAATTCCACTTGATTGATACTGTATATTCTGAAATATTCGTAAATTTTATTGTTTTCTCACTCATTTTAGAGCGAATTTCTTACCTTGAAACAATCAATGTGGTGAAATTTATGCAAATGACGCATTACCAATTTCACTGTTGCATTTTCAATGTTCAACCCTGGTTCAACTGCTCGTATCTTCGCTTCTTTTCAATGTATATATAGTAAAGACAAATATATTAAAGAATCTCCATCTTGCATTCTATCGCTCGGAGTAGTCTCAGGAAATTGCAAAATGATCTATGCCTATTATGGCGATTCTTGTGGTCGGAAAGTGTTCAGCCAACTTTGGACACCAAATTCTTGGTAAGCATTTGGAGAAATCACTTCGGAGTGTTGTTTTACCCTGTGGTATTTATTTATATTGTTGACGAAAATTTATGGTATTTTAGGCATAAATTCCTAGCTAAAGTAAAATGAGCCTTGAGCACATTTTGGTACATGCATAATAGACCAAGTATTCATACTTATATTTTACTAGTTTGGCTTTGAGTGTATTTGTATTATGATTTCAAGTGGCGCCATGTAAATTATTTCTATAAAAAATGTTTTTGTTTGTAGTGACGAAGATATTGGTCCTGTCTCAGAGCCTCAGTAGCAGTTTTGATAAGTGAATGAGAACCACACTTAGGAAAAGGTGTAAGTGTAGACGGAAGGGTAGGGGGATGGGTAGAGGTAGAGGGAAGCCCATTTGGGCCCAAAGCTCCCTGTCTAGCACCCCCATTAGGCCCCATAGTGCATAAGGGATTTGGTGATCCTGACACGATTTAGTGATCCCCTCACTGACATGTCGGGATCCATTTTGATCAAGCTTTCACCAGAAGTATGAACTGTGAGCTTGAATTCTTTCAGCTCTTTTTCACTAAGGAAATGCTTCAGGAGGTAGTTGCCCATACCAATACATATCATATGCCCACATACAAATAACCCAAAAATCATCCCATATACTAATAAAGAAGGGTCCTGGACGTCCACCAACCTTGTGGAGATTAAGAGGTTGATTGCCTTTCTAGTATATGGTAAACAGCAAGTCCAACTGAAGGCAAAACCTATGGTAGCTCCTTCGATAACTGGCAGGAAAGACGAAAGATTAAACAAAATAATTCCGGTCATGAAAAACGATTGTATTTCCAAAATTGTTCAAAGAGACCCTCTGATCAAAGCATTTGGATCAATAATGATCGAAAAAAGCGGACCAAAAGACAGCCAGTTCATTTCTCAGAAAATGAGAGAGCTTGGTCGCTTAGTAGAAGGTTTAATGTCGGTTGAGAAAAGTAAAAACGTCCAGTTGTCTGACTTCATCAAGCCCGAGAAGTTTGATACAGTTGTCACAGCTGTACATATTATCACTCGATTCAATTCACAAAATGATCAGCTCAAAGTGAGCATTCCATCACTGGCATTGAAAGTGGGTTACTCGATACAAAAATGTGCCTCCATTTTAAGTGGTTTAGGCTTTGCGTATGTAGGATGATTTTACATTGAAAGATATTAAGAACTTTCAAAAACTGATGAAATCAGAATGGGAGTATCATGTTTCCCATCATTCTTTGTCTACCCTGCATGAACTAAAATTTAATAAAGTTGATGTGCCCTCCCCTTGTCGAAGATATTACTTGTGTAAAGAACTTCATCAGGGTACTAATTCCCCCCGGCTATTTACACCCGGGGAAACAAAAGCATTAGCGAAGTCTAAAGTTCATCAATTATCGCGGGCGTTGGTCACCAACCATGGGTGGTCATCCTCACTGATCTCAAAAATTTGGCGGACTGTCATGAATAGCGGACACTGATTGGTCCAATCTAAAGTTTGCATTATAACGACTGCATGACGACAGCGAAATAGCAAACATTTCTTGATTTGATGATTGATAAATTTCTTGCAAATATATTTCATTTTTGCTCGCATTTTTGCAAGATTTTGTAAATTTCAAGAACTTCATCAAACAAAAATCGAAGAGGAGTCAGTTTGAAAGCAAGTACAACCGTGAAAAGCTGGACCTTGCTGGCCAAACTGCTGCTGGCAAGGGTCGTGATGCTCGAGAAAAGAAGGGCTGGTGAAGCATCGAAGTTGCTGCTCACGTCCTACAACAGCGGACCTGATTGGGCCCGGTCATCCAATATGGAAATCCTGGATAGTCTAAGTTCTTGGGAATGATAATTATCAGCGTGGTGAGAAAATTAATATTTTATGAATGGTTTATGATGAGTGGGAATCTCGTAAAAAATGAAAGCTCCATGCATAAAAATGTCCAAACCAAATTCTATCAAGAACTTTTAGTCTGCATGTCTACTACTACCAGTGAACTACCATTTAGTCATCTCGATATATAATGACGAATTTAATTTGTATCTTTAGGTGTTACTTAAAACATGAGCAGCAGTGTTTTATCAAATATAACGATATGAGATGAAGCAGAGTATTTTTAGGTTTGATAAAACATGCACTGCGATACGAAATCTTAATCGGACACATAATATAAATGGGTATTTCCAATCAATAAATTTACAGTTATTGTTGTCTCTGAAACCTGCATGGTTGCAAACTTCTGAGAGCAATTGTGATATACAGGGCTATGATTTTGTGCACAACCATCGTCAAAATGAAAGCGGTGGGGTGTTGGTTTGTATTTAAATTCTGCAATGGAATTCAAAACTCACTTTGACCTACAGTTTAACAATTCATGAATAGAATCTTTTTGTCTATATTACTATTACCGCTGCTACTATACCACAACTCTTACTGCCACTTTTTGCATGTCTGTGGATTAGACGCACCGTCAGTAGTGGTAGCAGAAGTGAAATCTAAGTCTCACCAATATCAAAATGAGCTCATAATGATTTTTAAATTTTAATAGGCTTGACATGGTTGAGATAAAGGGGGAAAACAGAAGGTTGCAATAATACTCACTCCAGAAATGAAAGCAGGTATCAACCTTATAATAAGTTCTTTGTAGAATGAGGATAGTATAATAATAAACATATAATACTTTTTGTTTGTGGAAACACCACATAAATTTATTGACTGCATATAGAAATAGAATCTTTTTGTCTATATTACTATTAGGGACTGCTCATTATTTTTATTGTACAGGGGGGAGACTGAGGAAGAAACTCCACAGTTACAATATTTTTTCATTGCCCCCCCCCCCAACAGTCAAAACAAGAACATAAATTTGGTCCCCTCTAGCTCTTTATCTTTATTTAGAGAAACAAAAACCCTACATCTTTATTTAGAGAAACAAAAATAGATGATGGGGACCAATAGACAATTCCCGTTATAGACTAATTTTTTATCTTAGCAAAAAAGTATATTCCGGGGAAGGGCATACTAAAGTTAGTCCCCGAGCCGACGGTGCAAAAAAGGTACTAATTCCCCCCGGCTATTTACACTTGGGGGAAACGAAAGCGTTAGCCAAGTCTAAAGTTCATCAATGAGTGCGGGCATCGGTCACCAACGATGTTGAGTGGGTGGCCATCCTCACCAATCTCAATAATATGGCTGATTGCGTGTATAGGAGTGGGATAAGCAAGATTTCAGTTAAAAGACATATATTTGGAAAATCGTTTCGTACACAACAAGCTTGAAGCAATTTTGTTTGAAGAAATGAGAAGAATTGATTTATTATGGGAAATTGTGAAATATACGGCAAGTTTGCTTTGAATATTTAATGTTTACGAATTTTGTTCCTTTAAATTTTTGCCTAAAAACATGAACTGTTTTCCTTTTCAATGAAGCTCTAAGTTTCAAAAATTACCGTTTAATTTGAGAAAAATCTTAAAATGTAAAGGAGAACAAGTTGATTTGAAGACTGAATTGAAATTACCTAACAATTTGTTTTATTTGTATTAAACTTATTATGTTTTATTATAAAGTAAAAACAGTTTATCGGCAAATGTAGTTTAGTTGAATGAACATTTCAAAACATTTTACAAAGCGTTTCAAGTTAAATTTTACATTAAATCAAAGCTCACAAAATGCAAAATAATATACTTACAGTATATATTTCGGAAATTTATTCTTGTATAGTTAAAAGTACGAATCTTTCAAGGCAATTGATAAAACTAGAATAGTGAAGCGAATAGTGCGATTAGTCGACGAATAGTACGAATAGTCCGCGAATAGTCGACGAATAGTACGAATAGTCCGCGAATAGTCGACGAATAGTCCGCGAATAGGCGACGAATAGTCGACGAATAGTGCAATAGAGACTTTGCAAGGCTTTGAGGCAGTGCTGCAGAACTAAATTTACCGGGGGGGGGGGGGGG